AAGCATCTGTGTTACGGATTGACAAGACTGTTGCCATAACATCAGTGACAAATACTTTCCAGATGAACCGTTTGGATATGGACATTTGGATAATGACAACATCTTCATGAATGATGGTGTAAAGGGAATAACCTGTGATGCTCAGACGCTCGTTCGTCTTTATGGTTTCTGAAATCTTGAATACAAGACCTTCTTGTACCGTGAAACTCGTGTTGTAGCTGTCGAAATGTTACCTCCATGGACCAAAGAACACTCAACAACGCGTCAATCTTGTGACCTCCGCTAGAATTTTCTCTCCTGTTAGTACGTTGTTATGTGAATAAATTCACTCTGGATTAACGTGTTTTTCTATGGACGGCTACACGGGTTTATTACACAATGGTCGCACTTGACATTTAAGTTGATGCAGTAATATTATCTACACATTACATACAGAGGTGAATGTCCTGTGCAAGTTCTAATGACGGACCCTCATCCAGATGGCGTGACTCGTGTGCAGCTGACGGATAACTTGAATTAAATTTAAATCCATATTATATCTTCGGTATTTAGATAGGTTACACACGACGACTGTATCTGTTGTCAGTAACTGTTTATTATATCTGGTCACCGGAGCACGTCGGTGAAAGCTAATGTACTTCTCATGAAGTTCCACGTGTTTAAATGCTAATGCTGGTTTCTATTTTGAATTTCAAATCTTGAAGAGTTTTGACATATGTTTTCATTTGTCTGTGATGATGAGCGAATATATCTGAGTTATCTGCAGTATGGGGCATAGGGTCGTGTTAAGATACTATTCGGCCATATGTTCTAGGGGTGAGCACGTACTTTAGCAAAATAACATTAGTACAATATCCAGGGCTAATTATCAAAAACAATATCATTCAAAGTAATATATGGAGTCTTTTATGTGATCTTGTGTATTAGGGGTATTATGCAGGTATTAGACGTTTATGCAGCTTTGAGATGCATGATGGTGACCACATCTGTTTGGGACATAACAAGGACAAGGCAGGGATTCTAACCAACGCTATGGGAGGTCACTCAAAGCGAAGGATAGTCTGTCGTACAGACTGACTGACTGACTGAGTTTGGTTTTACGCCGCTTTTAGCAATATTCCAGCAACATCACGGCGGGGGACACCAGACATGGGCTTCACACATTGTATCCATGTGGGGATTCGAACCCGGGTCTTCGGCGTGACGAGCCAACGCTTTAACCATTAGGCTACCCCACCGTCCCCTGTCGTACAGACCCTGAAACAAATATATCCAAGGAAGCCCACGCAAGTCTAGAAAATGTCGCAAGTCTAGATTTCCTCAGCTTGAAGAAAGTCTCAGGGCTCCTTTTCATTATATATTTTTTTATACTATGAACTTATTTTCAGTAAAATAGGTTCATTTCAGAGACTAGTTGTTAGTCTAAGCGAAGGAGTGAGCGAGGGTATCACATGGCCTTGATGAGTTTTGAATGGTCGTTGAGTTTTATCAGGATGTTGTCATGGCAGCTTGGAGTCATGCTGATCCTATATACGTTCGCCACTTAGAACAAAATACAGGTATTGTGAGAGCAAGACAAGGGTCATAACCTCATAATCCTTGATACACTAAGACAAAGCAACTTTATCAAAGACTGTACCCACCAACGACACAAGATAAATACTGCTATCAGTGACGTCAATGGCACTAGTCAGGGTTCCACGCTAACCTCTGGCAACGCATGATGGGAAATCCACTGTGTCCTCTATACATTCTGCATCTGTTTTTCATCTCATATTTTAGTTTAACATGACATACCATTCGAGCCCACGCGTATCAATCCGGTACAGGCCGATTTAAACGTTTTCGAATGTTACGAATGGTGGCATTCCAGTCTGGGGCCTTCATGTAAGTCCCGAAAGCTCAAATAATTAGGTAAAGTCATATCTAATGTAATATGCATGTAAAGAAATATTATTTACTTACTTACTTACTTTATACTTACTTATTTGTTTGTTAATTTCAAACTACGTGTGATCCTTTGCATGATGCACAAAACGTTCTTTCGATAAAAGAATAGAACAATATTACAAGATAAATATGAGATGTAAAATAAAGTTTGGTTAGAAAGGTATAGATTGATAGAGCTCATAAGAGATGTGAGAATTGAACGGGCTATTTATGTAGGAAACATATGAGCCGGGTGTGAAAGAGAAATACCATCGATATATCGTCTCACACAGATTCTCCATTCTAATTTTATTTGCATGGATGAAATTTACATCTGCACCTGTCCGAAAAAAATACATTTTGTGTATATATCACACAGACTACAACATATAAAAATATAGGAATGAAATGAAAATACGACGTAGCACTAAAGATAATTATCATATCGGTTATGGCCTCGAGTGTAACGCACTCACAATTGTCAGTGACCAAAATTTAGAATATACCTTAGATATCCGTACTATTAAGTATAGGTTTATATACACAGAGTCTTGAATGGAAAAACCATTCTGGGCCTGATTTCAGTTCATCATGCAGGAAACTGTCAGAAGCTCCCCAAAATGTATAGCGTTCCGGTATTCAGAGTCATCTCCCTTTCATCACCATCAAAGCGTTACTTGGTATTCACGTTCAGACTCCCATATACTGAGGGGAGTCAGTGATACGTGACCAGTCGCGTCACTGTACGCTAAAGTTATGAAGGGAATGCGAATACTCCACATTTATGGGTGACAATATCGTAATGTAAGACAATATGAAGACACTGTTGAAGAATGTAGCAAGCTAATAGAAAATATTTTGAAATAATGAAAATCGCTCAGGGCATTATCATTAATGTGTATTCAGATTGTGGGAGAAGCTGATATTTTTTTATCAAAATATAAATTGTAAATGTTCATCTAACGTGATTGTTTCTGACAAAAGATGACGTTGAACTTGAACTTGAATTTTCTTCTCCAACCCTCACCAAGACGTTCACTGATATTATAACGTTTTGTTACTGAGTTAATTATAGTATATTAAACCATATATACATATGTAGTGCACATATTCCATAGTCCCACTAATCTCAGATGGTACGTTACAAATACGTGACTTGGTTGACACATGTCATCGTATCCCAATTGCGAAGATCGATGTTCATGCTGCTGATCACTGGATTATCTGGTCCAGACTCGATTATTTACAGACCGCTGCCTTATAGCTGGAATATGCAAATACAAACCAACAACCAACAACCAACAAACCAACACAAGTGAAAATATTATGTTACATTAAAAGTACCTGACCCTTCACGGCTTAAATTTTCTTACAGACAAGCAGACAGACAGAATATTTTATTTAATTCTCACATATGTACATATTGCAGACAGATAGAATATACTTTATTTAATTCTCACCTTCATATGTACATATTGGGGACTCACATACATTATTGCATATATATAAATATATAAATCGGATTATTTCTTCAGTCCCGATGGGTGCCGGTTTAGACAGTTTCCACTGTATTGATAAAATATAACAGCCACTCCAACTGGAGTTATGAGAGACTATGAGGTAGTTTAAAAGATAAAATAGCATAAAAAGATAATAGAGTTTAAAATCATTTGTATAAATATATACATGTACTTCGAGCATGTAAAATACCCTTGCATGTTTTGGCACTAATAAAGATAAATAAAGGGTTGACTAAAACGTGACATAACTTTTCAACATCAGACAGATGCTGAGATCGGCTGACATGTTATAATTAATCGTGGGCCTGAACTGGTATAGGTGAACCGAACCCGGATCATGATCGGTTGCAAAATTCAAAATAAACAGGGGCGGTGGGGTAGCCTAGTGGTTAAAGCGTTGGCTCGACACGCCGAAGACCCGGGTTCGAATCCCCACATGGGCACAATGTGTGAAGCCCATTTCTGGTGTCCCCCCGCCGTGTTGTTGCTGGAATATTGCTAAAAGCGGCGTAAAACCAAACTCAGTCAGTCAGTCAGCCAAAATAAGCATCAACGTGATCAACCTCGCAATATATTACAGCAAATATAATTCCTATTCATCTGAGCGGTTGTCGGGGTGATGTAAGGGTGGATTTGTAGATATTTTAATAAAGCAAGGAACACCATATGACGCGGTGCCAGTATGGATACACCAGTCTGTTCACCTAATTCGGTGGCGGGGTGGTCATGAAGTTAAAATGTCAGCTCATCACACTGGGAACCCGGGCACGGCAGACGGTGAAATGTTGTGCACTCACTTTTTCTCAAATCGTGGATCCGCTGTCTATATATGTAATACCCACTCACAAGATTGCAATGGTATATATTTCTGTCAGGATTAATTCCGAAAGTGTTTTGAATACCGAGCTGAAGTTTGAGGTTGTCAAACGTATTAAATGAAAAGAAAAAAGATTGTGTCAGAAGTGGGATTCGAACCCACGCCTGGAGAACCAGACTGCGACCTGAACGCAGCGCCTTAGACCGCTCGGCCATCCTGACATACTAACGTGGAAGAGAATTTTATTATTTCAATGTTAAAGAAAAATTATTGGCATAGCGACGTTATTATTTTAGAATACATATTTCTAAAGTGAAATAGTATTGTGGTCGATTTCCCAAGGCAGGGTTATTATCGGCACAAACTAAACATTATTACCATTTTATTGATCGTTACACTCCGGACAGCGTTACCTACGGTATTGCTTAGTACATTAACCCTGAGCGGCGCAACACGCGCTGTACAGAGCGTAGCTGAACATGTGCACTTGAACAGAGCCCAGTCACTTTCATGAAAGGGGATTGCGCATCTCATCTCGGGTACCAGTTAAATTACACCCGGACTCATCCATGTATATTTCTATGAATCAAAACGAAACAGCTGACAACAGATAGCCGTATTCTGTATATTTGTATGTTACAAGATACTTGTATCGTGTATGATCTCACATCCACCACCCTTCACTCATTGCCATTGTGAATAAGTTATATACACAAGTATACAGGTTAAAACCTTCCGGATTTTAAGAGTCATTTCCGCTTCATCATGTGACCTTTGTATCGTCTTGTTTATACCTGCCGAAAAGGATTCTTTGGCTTCAGTTGAAAAGGTGTGTATTATTTCTTAGTCTGTCTCCTTTGGGATACTCACCCAAATTAGTTGATAACAGTGTCTCATAAGATGACAAACATTTCAAACATCATAGAAGACGTCAGCTGGTTAGAGGCAACGGGAATATTATTGCTGAGACTGAGAGCGGAGTTTAACAACAAGCAAAATGGTTACGATAACACAATACACACTATATCAGGCCATATAAATTGGTCAACCAAAAGCAGTGCAAATGGCAACTCACTCATGCATACACGCAAACCCTTCGCATACACTTCTATATATGCAATATTTTTTAATGTCAAGGTAAACCCCATTTCACCTCTCCAAACCAAATGTCAGTCAATATCTGTAAGCTTTATCCCTTTTTTCCAGACCCAAGCATGGTTGCCACTGGTCTGCTTATCCTGACACAGCCTCTCACAGTCCTGCGAGGACAGATCCCTTCACTACTCCAGCGTGTGTCCCAAGTTGTGTCCGATACACTCTATGTTCATCTCCAACCATTCAAAACAACCAACTCTGGCACCAAGTTCCTTATTTCTCCAGTCCCTGTTACTTCGGAGGTGAGGAAAGTTGTAAGGGACATCTATTCTGTTGGTGCCACCGTCTGCCGCCAATTAGACATCCGGGTCTTGCTGAGTCATATCACTAACCAGGATGTGAAGCTAGCAACATATGCTTTACACAAGGGATACAGCTTAGTAATCCTCGACAACAATCCAACATCAAATGAGTTATCTAAAGACAGAGGATTCCTTTTGGAACAAGTCAAGTCGTTATTTTTGACAGATGCAGATGTCGACTGCCATATACTTGACCCCCAAACTAGTCCTACTTCCAGTTCTGGTCTCTCAGATGAGGATCCTGTTCTTACAACATATAAGAATGTTGTATTGGGGGGAACATTTGACAGACTGCACGTTGGTCACAAGATTCTGCTGAGTGAAGGATGCATTTTTGCAAACAAGAAGCTTACCATCGGCATCTCTGATGGTAAGATGAATGACAAGAAAGTTGTTGGAGAGCTTATGGAACCCCTGTCTGTCCGAACTGCAGCAGTTGAGGAATTCATAAAGGACGTAAAACCGACAATTGTGCCAGATGCTGTGACCATTTATGATGTCTATGGACCAACCATTACAGAACCTGACTTTCAGTGCATTGTTTTGAGTGATGAGACCCAGAAGGGTGGTGCTATAGTCAATACAGAGCGAGAGAAGCGAGGGATGAACAGACTTGGACAGGTAGTGATTGATCTGGTGGCTGACAACACCCACACCCCTGATGAAGATGATAAAATCAGCTCTTCTTCGCTTAGGAAACGTCTTCTTGGGACTCTACTGAAACCTGTTGTCAACTCCAACTTGCCTAAATCACCATACAGGATTGGTTTGACTGGGGGTACAGCCAGTGGGAAGTCCTCCATCTGTAGAAGACTTGAAGGATTAGGTGCAGGAGTTGTGGACTGTGATAAACTTGGACATGAAGCTTATAAACCGGGGACACCTGCCTATGATAAAATCAAGCAGACATTTGGGGAAGGTATTGTCGGTTCAGATGGTGAGATCAATCGGAAGAAGCTGGGTGGCATAGTGTTTTCAGATCGGAGTAAACTTGATGAACTGAACAAAATTGTTTGGCCAGAAATTATGAAGCTGGCTGAGGCAGAAATTAGCAAGTTTGAGAAGAGTGGTAAGGAGGTTGTTATTTTGGATGCTGCAGTGTTGCTGGAGGCAGGATGGGACAGTAGTGTCCATGAAGTGTGGTCAACATTTGTACCACGTGCAGAGGCGACCAAGCGTTTGATGGAGCGGAACAGCTTGTCAGAAGAAGAAGCAGTGAAGAGATTGGATGCACAGCTGACTAATCAGGAGCGACTTGCACATGCTAATGTAACCTTGTGCACACTGTGGGAGTATGACCAAACACAGAGACAGTGTGAGAAGGCATGGAAGCTGCTACAAGAAAGAATCAACAAAGGAGCCAAGCTTTAGGAGATTACACAGACATGATTGAAATAGTTTTACAAGCCAATTACGAAATTGAAATCCAGAATATTTTACATGTTTACCAAGTTATATAGAGACACAGTTTCTGGTTTACAATCAAAACAGACAATTCTAAGAGTGAAACTTGTGACGACAGTGATAACCCAGAAGCTATATAAAAATATTAGCGCAGTGGGCTTGCTTTTATTGCTTTGCTGTCGTTGATTGCACCATAGTTTATATATGGACCTTTGAAGACACTGCGTCATCATAAGGGGTGTTATTAACTGATCAGATTTTAAAAGTTTTACATAATCTTTCAAATTTCATTTACTTTTAATCACTGTTAATCAGATGTTTCTATTTCTGACCTGGAAGCACTTCTTAACTGTGGTAGCCCAGTAATGGTGTAACTATACGGCATAATAATATTGTATCACGATGCATACGATTCATTACAAATTATATTGAACTGTGAAAATAGCAGAAACTGTTCAAGAACTAGTTTATGGAGATTCTGTAGTAATTCCTGGTTGGCACAGATAACAAGATCTGCACAGTGGCCCCAAGATATCATGGTTCTCCTTCACAATATCCAATCTTTTGTCATCGAAAATTTGTAAACAAATGATTCAGGGTCATGATCATATTGATTCACCGGCAACATGGGAGATAATGTGAGCTTATCAAATAAATACTGTATAGGCATGTGAACCGTATTTCACCCATGTAATTGGGATATATATATATAGTATCACAGTGTCACTGTATTGTTACACCTCAATAGCCCAGGTGTAAACTGATGTAATGGAATACATCACTGCCAGTATGTTTCCAAGAGTCTTTCTCTTTTAAGTGTTAATGGGTTGCATGTTTTTTGTTGTTTTTAAGAGACTGCATTTTGAGGTTTGAGTGTGTATATGAGAAGGGAATAGGGTAAAGTATTTAATCAGAGAAGTGCCCTAAGTGTAATAAACTGTTATTTGTTTGCTCACCCCATGTTGACACGTTACTTTAGGTCACAGGCTAGGTTCATCAGCTCTGGTACTTGGCGCCACTTTTAGGAGTCGTCTTGGAGCTGAGGGTCTTCTCCTTCCAACACTCCTGAAAACATATCTTCCATTCAGGTCTTAGCTGTGCTTGCATTCACAAGAGGCATTTTATTATTTCAGGCTAATGAATAAGAGATCCTGTGCTATGAGAGATTTTGGCGATTGGGTCCAGAGTGTTTATTATACATGTTATATTTGAATGGAGGTGTAATGCCCACCAGATCATGAATGCAAGATGGCTGGAAAACAAGATTTTTGTTGAAAGTGGAATATTCTGTTAGTTACTGTTTGACTTTTAAAATTATCATTGAAGGATGTTTGTTGTTCCTGCTAATTGTTACAGATATTTTATTGATGAAGATATCTGGATACTGCATACATGTATGAGAGTGAACTAAGGGAGACAAACCAAGTAAAAGGTTTGCAGTCCTGGTGTCAAGCAGTTATTCATCTTGCTTGACATGTATGTAAAACTTGGCGTGTATGTCTTACAACAGATTATTAAAACATAATCCAGAGTGTGGATGGTGGGTCACATGAAATATTCTGTCTGATGTTCCTTTCTTCCTCATATATTGTAAGGGACATGGATGTCCTAGTTCCCAGTCGTCTTAGGCACCTCAAGTTGCCGACAGAATTGCATCCCTTGTGCTCCCCTAAAACCCGGGATCATAGGCTGAATTGTGGGTTCATCCAGTGTCTCTAGGCATTATATATACCTGTGCTTATGGGTGTCACCAAAACTGGGAATGCCTTCATCGTATCATGAATTGGGAAAGTACCAGATTTTGATCGTTTGATCTGAGTTGTCAGTCACATTCTAACATGACATTGAAGAATCCTATTGATACCTCTAACTTGAACCATTCCACACAAATACTGAGGTTATGAATAAGACATTTCCTGGACATTGTTGATCCATAATTAATAAAAGCCATCTCTGCTGATAACTAATCGTATCTTCATACATTTGGAACATCATCAGTTGCCTTGTACTGTTTCGATGAGAGATGACAACACTAAGCGAAGACATTTGTAGTTTGCATATAAATATTTATGATTTTTTTATAATGATAATAATAAGGGCATTTGTAATTCGCTGAATTCTGCACCATGGAGGGACACAGCGCTACAATCTGAAACTTATTACCCGAGATAACGCAAGCTGCCTGTGAGGTGCTGGAAGGTTAATAGTCACATGACTTATCCCACCGGGTACCCATTTTCTGCTGGGTGAACAGGCAAGTTTGAACAACCTCACTTGCCTAAGGTGAGACCATATGTATCGCATGTGCTTCGTTGTTGGACAGGACTGAAGTCCTAGACACTCTCAGGAGTCAAGCTGCCAAACACGGTCACCAATCCAAGGGACGCCCAAGGTTGCTTAACTTCACCTGATTTGTGACCTGAGCTCTGTGCACAGGACCACGCACCACCACTATATTTTTCTAGGGATATGCTAGGAAACGTAAACACACTTGACGGGCAGTATGAATCGCCAACTAGTCTAGTGACAGAGTATAATACTCTCAGGGAGCTGGCGAACCACAACAGAAGGTGGATAAGTGTACTGCACTTGGCACATTATCCAAACGACACATCTCAACAAAGTACGTTTCTCTCTAACAACACAGACACATTGAATTGTGACATTGTGTGACACTTGCGTAGTGACGCTAGATGTGGATCACTGCTTTTATTGATGAATTCCTCACTTGAATATTCTTGAACTATCGGCAGCGTATCGATGGATGCATTTGGATTTCCCAAAATGGTAGTTTCTACGGCCTCCGTCCTTCCAATACTGAAATTGCACACCGTAAAATATGACCGAAATATTTCCAAAATGTCAAACTCACCCACACCTTTCTCATACATATTCTAGTGATACGGGATGTACGTTCGCGTTCAGGATTGTGTTTAACTTTAGCAAAGCGATTGTAGTTACATGTGCGTGTTGCACTTTTTATAGATGTCGTGAACCTGACGCCTCAGACGCCCTGTCATTTCACCAAGTAGGTGGTCATTAGGTTCAGGGGCGTAGGAACAGGGGGGGCTTACCCCCCCCCCCCCCCCACACACACACTTTTTTCAAGACGAATCAACATACTAGTATCTACCATATCTACCTTACTATAACTATATAACTACACTTTTTGATTTTCAATACTTTTCATAATTACACACACACACACACACACACACACACACACACACACACACACACACGGCTCTGAAAACCGTTCCTACGTCCCTGAAGTTGAACTATCTACTGTAAAATATATAACAACAACCTTGTAGATCATAAACTTCCATAAGAGCGGAGTCAAGGAACTAAACACCGTCACGAATTAAATCAATGTTAAATGTTCCAGTTATGTCTTAGCCCAGGGGGCGGTGGGGTAGCCTAGTGGTTAAAGCGTTGGCTCGTCACGCCGAAGACCCCGGTCCGATTCCCCACATGGGAAAAATGTGTTAAGCCCATTTCTGGTGTCCCCCGCCGTGATATTGCTGGAATATTGCTAAAAGCGGCGTAAAACTAAACTCAGTCAGTCAGTCTTAGCCCAGAGACCATATACCGTACCATGTGAAGGTATACAAACAATACATAGATTTCATCCTCGGATTCACTACATGTACAATAAACACAAACAGCTGGAACATCTTTTGGTTTAAGAGGAAACTCAATATCAAAATCATAAAGCGGCACCTAAATTTACAGAAAATGTAAGTGACTTATCAAAATGTGCGAATGATGTATAACTTTATATAAATGAAAGTAACTGCTAAGAAATAGAGAGAGATACTGAAATGTGACAATTTTGGAATTAATGTGTCTTTAAATCTCAGGTTAAATGTTTAATTACTCTTCTTTTTCAACTCACATCCTACATTTTGATCTATGAACGCACAAAATCATACGAAAACAGCCTGGAATCTATGTCTACACCCTGTAATAAGTTCGCTGTGGGGCGCGGCATCTACATTATGAGTTTAATCACATTTATAGGTGCTGCCATTGAGGTTGAGTCTGTATAGTCTCCATGAAGATCCCCCATGGGTGTTCCAGAAGCCACATACACTTTTTCTTCAATTCAGACCCATGTACGACTGTTTTAACAATTTATTGATTTGCCTAAAAAAACGTGCGAGTACAAGTTTAGATAAAGGGCATGTGGTCTGATACTCCATAGGGTCGGGTTTTCAGATGTTTTCAGTTTAATGATCAACAGTACACTGACCCATGGAGACTGTCTAGTGAAACCAGAGTGCCCAACAACCTACGTGTGGTGAATACTAGCATGGGCGGATCCAGGAATTTTCAAAGGGGGGTGGGGGTGGAGTTGTTTCAGGGGTTCGAACCCCCTGAACCCCACCTTTGCTTCGCCAACGCAAACGAATCTTCAATGTGGTCTTAAGTCATTTTCAAAAGGGGGTGGTGGGGGGTCGAAGTGGGAGATTTTGTTTATTGCATGTCACCTTGGAGACCGATGCTCTTGATTTCAGTCTCGGGATTGTCGGTTAGAACTAGACCCTGTTATTTACAGACCGCCATCATATGTGCCTGTATTCGTATGGAGTGCGGCGTCAAATAAAACGCACATGCAACACATTAAAAGGAGACTTGGCTCGGGCGAGGTGACAGTCCCAGAAAATTTGACCATGCTCATTCACGTCTTGCTAACACCTTATTTGTCTGCAAAATCAGTCTACACGGTCTGTCTCAATCGATCCGTTGTTGACTCCCACTAACACAGAGATAGCGTTTGATGCACTCTCTAGCGCTTACATAGAGAATGTGAATGGACAAGTCCAATTGAAAGGGATTTAGATAAGCAATGTGCGTTGGCTGTGACCATGTAGTCTGTCTCCCAGTCCATGTACCGCATTATTTTCCCTTCCGCCCAGCTCTTTCTGTAGTGGTAAATCCCTAGACGAAGCAAATCTAGATGTCGTCGGGTTTAGGTTGTCCCAACTCGCGGGGTCTCCTTTTCACTTTAAAAGGTTGTATTTGTTTTTTTCAAAATTAAATATAGTCGGAAACTTATCGTCAGTCTTGACCATGGTGCTTTTTGTCGAGCAACTCTTTAGACTTGGCATAACACGTTTGTATGTGTGGTGTCTATACAATCGCCTGTGCATAATGACACAGTACTCGACGAGCTGGAGGGGGTCTGCCCAGTACGCATGAATCAGTTGAAGCAGGATGTGTTTGAAGAGAGTGGGCTGAACCCTTCCTGGTGTTAAGTAACACCGCTGGGTTCCACTTCCAGCTTGGAAGAATTATCTACTCGTCAAAGTGGTAAGTAAAAGTGTTAATTTCATATTGAACAACAAACTGCAAACCCAGAGGTGTCTTTATAAAGTTTAAAAATAGAGTAAGTTTAGTTTTGTTTTACGCCGCACTCGGCAATATTCCAGCTATATGGCGGTTTAAAAATAGAAGAATTCCCTGCATATTTTATCCATATTGATATATTAATATAGAATATCAGATTTATGTCAGTATTCAATCACTGCTGACTGTTTGTATTTCGTAAACATAACTGGTAAACTTTATTGGCCTAGTAACCGTTTTTTTCCATACTACTACTACTACAACAACTAGTAGTAGTAGTAGTAGTAGTAGTAGTAGTTGTAGCAGTAGTAGTAGTTGTAGTAGTAGTAGTAGTAGTAGTAGTAGTAGTAGTAGTAGTAGTTGTAGTTGTAGTAGCAGTAGCAGTAGCAGTAGTAGTAGTAGTAGCAGCAGCAGTAGTAGTAGTAGTAGTAGTAGCAGCAGTAGTAGTAGTAGTAGTAGTAGTAGTAATAGTAGTAGTAGTTGTAGTAGTAGTAGTAGTAGCAGCAGTAGTAGTAGTAGTAATAGTAGTTGTAGTAGCAGTAGTAGTAGTGGTACAAGATTTAGAACTATAAACTACTGTTATTGCTAGAAGCTGGCTAGAACTTCCACTATTAAAAATATTCTAAGATTTACTGACATGTGTATTCATATCTGTGTTAACAACTAATAATAATTATTACATTTGAGGAAACGACAAAGTGTGACCATTAGACATGAAGCAGTTGTTTCCGGATTCAGGTTTCGTGCTGTCACACACTATGGAGCCTACACGGGATTAGAGCGGAGAAGGATTTGTGTGTCTTTTTCCATTTCGGGAAAATCTCAGTTCATTCAATCTAAAATGGGTGAGTACGTCCTCGTTAAGAACACTGCACCTTCTTCAGTTCGTGCTGGGTTTTTTTTGTATACTAGTAGTTTCTTGAATAAAGCTGTATGTGTTGTACGGTATTGGCAGGATAGTGCCTCCGTTAAAATTCGTACACATTATTGACACGTCGAAAAACCCTAACCCAGATAGCATTCGGACGTTGGCCCAACGTTAACGTTGGCAATGTTGGCAAAACCATTGTCAACGTTGGGCCAACGTCTGAATGCTATCTGGGAATTTGTGTTATTTTACAATAAGTTCTACCCTGCCCACTACACATAATCAACCATCCTAGATATATGCATATAAAATATTATCATTAAGATATGACAATGCGATTCTGTTTTTTGTCTAATCTCATTTACATGTAGATTCTATATTAAAAGTAGTTTCCATTTTCGGTAAAAATGTTAAATAAATATGCCTTGTCAGCTATTACTTTAATTTGCTCGTAGATGGACTGGGTCTCATAAACTTGCATGCTAGAACTATATATTAAATACTGGTATGTAATTTCTTGGAAACTACATACATTCCCACTGAGATAAACTGACAACAGCTCGGTTGGTACCCTGCTCGTTTGAATAATTATGACTTTAAAACAAAATTTGTCAGTCACCCTCCTTCTCAATACGTGTCTTTACACTGTCGATGATCAGCATGTCAAATACACGGAGAGTTGTTGAAATAAAGGAGGGGGAGAAAAAGGAATATATATATATATCTTTATGTAGCTGAAGCTGACTAAAGGCAGACCAAACTGACATATCCACAAAACAGCGTTTCGCTTGGATGTGAATTCACAGCGGTTTTTTTTCAACGCTCCAACCTGTGGGTTCAAATGAATAAATGATCGGTCCCTTCATACGAGAATCACAGACTGCTCCCCAGATTTGTAAACTTCCGGTAGACAGAAAATGGCGGCCAGAGAATTTACTTTGGCTTCCGTGAAGGATTTTATGATTAATAATGGTGGTAGAGTGAAAAATCATCAGCTGGTAACCCACTTTAAAGCATTTCTCAACGATCAATCGCACAAAGGTAACTGCTTTTAAAAAACAAAAAACAACATAAAGTATGTTTCAACACAACATCAATCCTGACCAGTGAAAATCTTGTTGTTTTTACGAAGATCATCCCTCCACGAACATAATTAATCATTTTGGACCTAGATACTTCATACGTCGTTCATCGTCACTGCAATATTGAGGTGCACTTTGCCGCACTTTGTTATTCGAGCTCTGTCTGATATTACGTTACACTGTTATCGCTTGTATTACGAATAGTGTTATGACTGTTCAGTTGCACTTTTCACTGTCATATTTAGTAATTTAGATTTATTTCATCATGTTCATGGTGCAGGGTTTTACCTCGACTCACATATATGAGATCCCGGGGACCATTAATTATTAGTTATAAGGGTCTTTGTGGGCAAAAACGAGGGTCCTGTGATGGTGATGTAACAGTTTACAGAACTGTACCTTTTTGATAATTTCTTGAGAGCCTGGAATGATTCATTGATCGTGTTGACTGATGTATGAAATGATGCATATAACTGCTCAGAAAGAAAGAACCAAACACTGTATAAAGTCATAAATGTGTTGTGGGTACAAGGAATTTTATTGTTCGTCTGTCTGGACGCAATGAATTTTTTCTGTGTCCATTCTCTACATTTGTGCATACTGGATGCACATTACATAAAATCCTGGGGTGTGAGGAATAACAACAGATCGAGTTACTATTAATGTCAGTTGAAAATATCACAAACAGCTTATGGCTATAGTGCTAGGGCTATAGCGCTCCTGCTGTAATAAGCTAGCCTTTAGTATCAAACATCCCTTTAACATTGTTTACAATCCTTAGGGAGCTGACATGTGTTTACTAGTATACAGTCGAACCCTGTTTACTGGGACCCCGTATATCCAGAAACCCTGCCTTCCGGACGATTTTTGGGTGAAACAAAACTTACCTTCAGTAATTGTACTTGCTTAGCCGGGACCCAACGCATCTGGACCCCGACGGAGAATTTTCAAACCATTCCTATAGATTTCCATTAATAAGTGATCCGGACGGAAATATCTGTGCGCATGTGTATGTGTTATGTATTTTTTACCGTAAGACTAAGTGTATTCATTGTTAATCTCTCGGCAGCCATTTGATATGAATTGATTAATTACCCATCAAAACTCTAGGGATGTGTGTCACTTCAGTTGTTAATTAGGATTTGACAGGTGTGAGAACATCTCATCAGTAACGAAAACACATGTTAATTAGGATTAACTACATTGTAATTGTACTGTATATAGCGTCTCATCACATTTCTGTACAGGTATATTGCCAGCATAATGGCAAGTTTTTCTTGTTTGATCCAGTTAACCTGACGCCTCGCTATCTGGACGATTTCCGAGTGTAACCAAAATGTCCGGATAAACAGGCTTTGACTCATTGAGTCCTTTCAGTTAGGGTCAGACACATATCAGAACTATTTCAGTGTAAACCTTAAAACATGGACCGTCTCCGTGGTGTAGTGGTTAGAGCGCCCGGCCGGAGAGCGGAAAGGGCGCGTGTTCGATCCCCGACCCGTAATACCAAAAGACGTTAAAATGTGGTACTTGTTGATCCCTGCCTGGTGCTCGGCATTAATGGGTACAACAAGGCCTGGTCGTCTCGGAGTCAGTATAATGTGTCTGAGTGGGGTATTCATGCTTCACTGCGGCATGGTATCTCAGTGGGCTAGCACTATAAAACCAGTTTATGCCTGGGCTAGTACAAGCAGCCGCACATACACATGCATGCATGTCGTCATATGAGCGAAATATTCTCAAGCACAACGTTATACCCAATTTCACCTCACCTCACCTTAAAACATGGAAACAAATGGAACATTCTGTAACATGCAGGACGAGACCATTCTTGAATATTCAGGCTGCACAAGAATCTTCCAGACCAGCCTCATGTCCCAATGTGATGTACCGTAAGCTATGTATATCATACTTATAATGAACCGGACGGATAAAAGAACTTTCTTGGACCTGGCCACTTGCTGTATATTTCAGTTATCATGGTTATAACGAGTTAAATTAGTTAGACCCTTTATGTCAGTTATAACCCTATGTTACAGTATTAACCAGCACACCACTGCCCTTAACTGAATTTCAACAGAAACAATATAAAACAGTTACAACACTTTGACATTGACGAACACTGTCCCATAACAAGATGCTAAAGGTAGTGTTTGAGTTTGGTCTTGAGTATTTATGCAGAATATATTTAATTATCAATAATATACTTTTGTTCAGTGTGCATCCCTGTTCTACAAACTGTTCACTGCTGATCCTGGTGAGCTATTCTCTCTTCATTGATGCTTCACATGTTTAGCAATGATTAAAACAGCTGAACTTATCATAATCTTATGTTGAAAATTATTATTGAGAAAATATATACTGAAGTTAGCAGCATTATCAAGATGTTGATCTTGTACAGCTTGTGACTTTAAGATAATGATATATGTCTGTTTCATGTATGAAGGAGCAAGAAGATAAGTTAGTGCTTTAATGGGAAGATAATTCATGTGATTCCAGGATGTATTTATTAGCGGTGACTATTGAGGGGGAAACAAATATTGCGATAACGATAAAGTAAAGATTATATGAAATAAAATAAAGCTGAAGTAGGTTTAGTCTCTTTAAATAACTGACAAAAACATTGAAACCCAGATGATGTTTGTTTAAGAGGTAACAGGGGGGGATAGCTCTAAATCAAAGTGAACCAGTCTTGTATTTCCTGTATTTTTTGCTGCGCTTTTATCAACGGAAGTTACATACTGAAACTATTGATAGTCACACATACTATTGATGCATCGATAGTTTTTTGTTTCTACCATCGATTAATTTCTATCAGAGACTCAACAATTGCAATCCATCGATAGTTCAATGCATCGTTACAGCCCTAGTATTTATCCATCATATTTACAGTGTTAATGCATGTTGATTGGTGTTATATACACTGCCCCATAACAACATGTGTTTGTTTGTTTCAGCTCACAACAGGGAGAAGTTTAAGGACTATGTCAATGAGCTGGCAACAATAAAAGTTGAAGATGTAAGTACATATTTACTGTTTATTCCATTACATGTTCATGGTATATGCTGTGTTTTAAATGAAGAAGGTCCTGGGTTACTTGAGGTTTGCTTTTATACTGTTTGAATCTGGGGACCCTGAAATGTCAAACCTTCAACACATTTGACTCTCACATTTCTTGAACTGCAATGTACTTTTTACTTCCTTTTTTTTACTTGATTGACTGCAGTAATTTGCAGCGTTTATGATCTTTACTTCTATGTCCAAATCTGATCAAGCACATGGTGTATGCATGTAATTTCTGACATACAGGAATTCCCGTACAACAACAGGTTATGTAAGAGGTAGATTGCTATAGGGACAAGATGAATGTTTATTCAGACAGAAATGTAGCCTGATTTTCATTTTCACTTGAAGAAGGAGTAAGGATATACTTTCGAAACATTGTGTTCCTCATAATAAAGAAGTTGACATCCATAAAACTCTCTTCCTTATGTGTATCACTTCTAAATGCCATTCAAAGACCAGAAATATAGCAGCCGGGTAAGACTGTCTGTACTTGGTGGTGTTTCTTCTGTGGGTCCTGTATCAGGTATATCATTTCCCTAATCAAGTATTTATAACAAGTGTCAACATCAAATTAGCGTATCGTATTCATTAGTAGTGCTGGTCCACTGGTCTGAGTCAAACATGTTTTCTGAAAAACAATTAGAATTATATCAGTTTGGTCATTTAGTGATTTTGGACCAATATTTGTCAGTGTTGCAAAGGACTAGCACTTATACTTGCCCAGTTGCATCTCTGCTAGACACAATTGTCCTCACCAAAAGGACTTTAAAGGGTACCACTTAATTGTGTACCAGTAACTAGTGTTACGGTTAATAAATTGCTGTGACAAAAGGTTTAAGAGTCCCCTTTGAACCAGCAAACTAGAACACAGACAAGTCTAAAATGTTCAATAATATATTGAGCAAGCTACAATGAATGACAATACAGATATCTAGTACAATGCAATTGAATCACAAATCTAAAATATTGGGTCACAAATATAAGATATCAACTCACCAGAGTCTTGACATTTACAGTGTGAGCAGATATTCTGATTGAAGGTTGTTTACAATGACAACAGTTGACTACAGATGAGCAGCACAGTCTTGAATGTTGATCAGACGATGATGATGGCAGAAAGATGTATACAAATCCAGTCATGTAATAAAGTCCGTCGCACAAAGCAACAACCAGCCTTTACATAGCTATCACACAGTTCTCGAGCATTCTACCAAAGCTAGGCTGTATCATTATCCACTCAGAACTTTCACGAAATCCGTCGAACAAACGACATGATGAAAGCTGTAAATAAGATTGCCAAGGGAGGCAACTCTGAAGCTCTATCAAAAAGGCGTACCGCTAAAAATAGTATTGCCATTATACATATATGATGCGAGATGCAAGCCAAAACCCACACTCAAAACATAAAGCATTGTGGCCCATAATAATTATCACTTAATCAATGTTATTACAAATCATAAAAATACACACTCTCATAACACTAGAATGAAAACTCAGCCTCGAAGGTAACCACTGGTACACTCTGATTAAATAGATACTTACAGAGTTGATCTTTAGCTGATTTCAAAGGGGTACCAATTTGTATTTCTTTGTTTTATTCCCCTTGGATAAATCTCTGGCATTTTGAACTCTTTAAGTCTGGATTTCAAGTTTTGGACCAGAAACATACAAGTTCTCATTTTGACATTGCTCATACAGGTTTTTGAATGAAAAAAAGTAAGATCTCCGCTCCTCCTTACCATTCTGAAGCATGGAGGAACACACAGCATGATATGGATGGCCCAGCACAACAATAGACAGCATGTGTCATTGTGTTACTATAATACTGTTGTTGATACAGGGGGAGAAAGTTCTCGTCCTCAAGAAGAAGTTCCGGCCAGAAGCAGGGCCAGTAGCTGCCGTCAAGTCTGTGGGTGAAGTCCAGCGGGCACAGTCAGAGCCCCCCAGCAAGCCTCCGCCCTATCCCCCAGGACAGGATGAGGCTGATGGGGTGTCCATATCTAAGGGGAGGAGTGAAGGGAGCCTGGATTCCCAGATGAAGGGTTCCATCCATTCGGCAGACAGCATCAGCATCAGCAGCCTGGCCATGTCTACAACATCCATTGCCTCCACGGTCAGTCGTCTACCATAGTCATGTATGCAGGGGCAGATATCTTTACATTATAGTAAAATACATCCTGGAAAGCTCCACTCACTAATGTTGACTGAATCAAACTTATTTTGGGATGTTAAGCCATGATACTAGCTTCATCATGAACAACTAATCAAAAGTACTTTCTCTATAGATTTAGCAAATTGTATTCATTACGTCCGTTATGTACTATTGGGTGATGTGGGTAGCCATGGGGTTAAAGCGTATGCTCTTCATGCTGAAGACCTGGCTTCGATTCCCTGTGTGGTTACATTGTGTGATGCTTTATATTGCTTGAAGTTGATATTGGAATATGGCTAAAAGTTTGGCATAAAACCATACTCACACACTAAAGCTATGAGTAAACAGCATGGTTTTCATTGAATGTTTTCAGGAATCTCAAGGTTCCGGCAAGTCCTCCCAGGCGTCCACTGAGGAAGACCAGAACATGTCTGTGTTGAGTGTCAAGGAGGGGCCAAGCATCTGAACCGCATGCAGTCTGAGAGTGACCTCTTGGTCAACCAGCCTTCCAAGAAGAAAGAATCAAAATCTGTAAGACCTTGACCATGTGATTAGATGGCAAGCCCTCATTTATGAGGGTTAGATATTGTATATGTTGACTACACCTTCTGGAAGGACTATGATGTTCAAGCTGTATCTATTAGTATTCACATCTTGTTGAGTCAAGGAAATGTCTTTGTAGAAGTGTCAGATGATGGAAGTCCGTTGTTATTGTTGGAAAAATACTGAGATTGTTCGGTATTTTGGTGACAGTGTATATTTACATCTGTCTTTAGACATCTGATAATTTGTGTCAAACATTATGAGTGAGGTGCATGCTGGTGTTCAGTGATGAACTGATCTGTGTGGATTCGGGGATAGAGTCGGTCCCCAGCAACTTACGCAGGTTGACCAATGATTCAGGTGGTCAGTCTTAGTGACTTGGCTGATAGTGTGGCATTGGAACTTCACAAAATTTGCCACAGGATTGTCTGGTCAAGACCTATTTTCAGTTGTTGTCACGTAGCTGTAATGTCCCACAGTGTACAGTGTGTCATTAAACAAACAAATAAACAATTAAATAAACAAATAAACAATCAAACAAACAGCTCTGAACTTACTGTGTGTATTATCTTCAGGGAAGCCGTGGATCTGGAGGAGATGATGACGACTCCCAGTCTGGCACATCATTTGTCACGGTGAGTAGCTCACACACACCTTGGTGGTAATTGGGAGCTGGAACTGTAGTTCTGCAGTATGTGCTCCACTCCCTCCCTCTGTCATTGTGTACTTCCTCCTTTTTCAGCTGGAACCCGAAGAGAGAGAGTGGATGTTGACATGCTGCCACTCAGAGTACCACGACATGAACCGACTCCTCAGCAAGAACCCCCAACTGGCCAAACTCAAGGTTGGTGCGAGTGCCACTTTCTCTGTAACCATGGCAACAGAGGAATGTCATCGTTTTACCTTCTGACCAAATAACTGTAAAATGTACAAATTGACAAATTCTGATGTCTGTGAGAAATGTTTTAATGGGTTTTCCTGATAGCAGGAACAATTATTTATATCACTGATATCATCAAGATCCCGTCATCATCATTATTTGAGCATCCACACTCCAGCTGCCATCCATTAACCTTCTCACCACCTAACCAGATTTACTAGCTACAGGTCCCGAGCTTACAATCTCTCACCATTACATACCAGTTGCATATCAACATTAGAAATTACCCCAACTCTCTGACAGCAGCTACCTTTGGTATTGAGAGTTATCTCCCTTTGAATATAAGTACCGGTACTAGTATTTTCCCTAACGCTATGTCATCTTTAATGTTTCTATGTCATTTCTTCATTTATGTTTCAGAATTTCACAAATGTGAGTACAAACCACATCGCTTGTGAACATGAACAAAACTGAAACCAAATTACTACCATGGATAAGAGAAACAAAACAGCACTTGACTCTTGCCAATACCAACTTGTCATGTTAAATGTATGCAAAGGGCTACAAGAATTGCTATGTGTTATCAGTATTCAGGCTTGTATATATTTTGGTTAATGTTATCCCAGTAATTGGTAATGTGTTCATCTGATTTGAGCTGCATGATTCATGGTTTTGAACTTTTCACAAGGCATAATGGTAACTGATAGTAATGTCTACTCACTGTTTTCATCACTGCTTTTCTAATGTTTGAAATGTGTGAGATATGAATGTTGATGCAACTATATCAATGTTTTCTTCCTTCCACATATACTCTCAACCTCTCCAGGGTGTAAGTATTCACTCTCTCACTTTAATTTGATCCGTGAAGATTCAGGTTAGAATAGATCTTCAGTAACCCGTGCTTGTCGGAAGTGGCGACTAACGGAATCGGGTGGTCAGCCTCGCTGACTTGGTTGACACATGTTATCATATCCCAATTACGCAGATTAGATACTCATGATGTTGATCACTGGATCATCTGGTCCAGACTCAGTTATTTACAGACCGCCACCATACAGCTGAAATACTGCTGAGTGTGGCATTGAACAACAAACCAGCCAACTCAACTGAATCTATGTAGAGAAAGTTAAAGAGAACTGATTCATGACAGCTGTCTAAATGTGTTAACATGTTCGGCCATATGTGATAAAATATTTTTCTCAGTAAAATGTATAACGTTTTCAATGATAGTAATGTATAATAAACAGAGAACGACTGCTTGTAGATGTATGTCTGTTGTATGTAGAGGTCTAATGTGTTGTTTTGATTGTTTCACCTGCCGCGGCATCTCCTGGATCCTCAGTATGTAAGTAGCAAGTAAAATGTACATCTCGTCTAATTCACATAGAGACTACAGATAATGAGACCGCCTCCGTGGTGTAGTGGTTAGAGCGTCCGCCCAGAGAGCGGAAGGTCGCGGGTTCGATCCCCGACCGCGTCATACCAAGAGACGCTAAAATATGGTACTTGTTGGTTCCTGCCTGACGCTCGGCTTTAATGGGTACAACAAGGACTGGTCGGCTCGGAGTCAGTATAATGTGTCTGAGTGGGGTATTCATGCTTCACTGCGGCATGGTATCTCAGTGGGCTAGCACTATAAAACCAGCTTAAGTCTGGGCTAGTACAAGCAGCTGCACATACATACACACGCATGCACGTCGTCATATGAGCGAAATATTCTCAAGCACGACGTAAAACCCAATTTCAACTCACCTCACAGATAATGTTCTTGGTTGGAATTGATCTTCAGTAACCCATGCTTGTAAGAGGCAACTAACAAGATCAGGTGGTCAGGCTCGCTGACTTGGTTGACACACCGTATCCCAATTGTGTTGATCGATGCTCATGCTGTTGATCACTGGATTGTCTGGTCCAGACTCGATTATTTACAGACCGCCACCATATAGCTGGAATATTGCTGAGTGCGGCCTAAAACTAAACTCACTCACTCACTCACAGATAAGGTAATAGGTTACAAGGTTTTTTCTCTGTGGGATTTGTGGGTTGTCAGTAACCTGTTAGTCATAAGTGACAACCTGATTTAGTGGCTCTGTATCTTGGGTGATATCGTTACGTGAACTCATCTTATCTGCCTACAGACAGCTCTGCATTGGGCTTGTAAACATGGGAAGGCAGATGTCGTCAAGCTCGTGGCATCAAAGCCTGGGGTCAGCATCAACTCCAGGACGGTAAGCCTCTCTTTTTGTTTGGTATGTCATAGGGTCAGTATAAATTCATGACGTTTGGTTTGTTCGACCCATGAATGAGTGTGCCAGAATTTTTTTTGTAAAAAACTGTCACAAAATAACACATTTGTGTACTTGCTAAATAGGTACATAGGTGAAATCCACTGTCGAAAACAGCTGATACGTAATGTAACTCCACTTATATGTTTTTGTACCAAATTTTTGCATTTTTTCTATTGATATTTTTTGTGATTTTTCAAAACATTGTGTACTACATCTAACTTTCTGCAACTGTAATTAAAACTGTGATAGATGATTGATTAACAAGATTTGTGTATGCCTTGCACCGTGTGTGAAAGGGAGACATGTTCTGCTCAAAAGAAGTGAAGTTACACCAGATTCTTTCATATTACCGCAGTTAATCTGTCTTGCCATGACAGTAATAAAAAGATTCTGGTGTTATTTCATTTCTTTTGAATAGTATATTTTGCCGCAAGGACAAGTAACCCTCATCCAGGAAGTTAGATAACAGTGGGTAGTCAGGCATGACTTTATTACACTACCGTGATTACCATGGTTACTGTTGCTTAGTTCAGAATGTCCAGTTCCACAAAGCCATTCTGAGGCCAATGATTGTGTGGTAGCTACCCTTCTTTACCCTGGACTTATAGTGGCGGTAGCGTAGTCTGTCATACAGACACTGAAGCAAATATATCAAACAAAGCGGAAGTCTAGAATATGTGGCAAGTCTAGATTTCCGCAGCTTGAAAAAAGTCTCAAGGCTCCTTTTCATTATTATTATTTTTTTTTACTGTGAACTTTTTTTCTGTAAAATATGTTCATTTCAGAGACTAGTTGTTAGTCTAGCGGTAGTGCCACTTATTTAGCCTTGGGTACCAGGATGTTGAACTTGGGCTGTCATCCCAATATTCATGTATCGATAGGATTTTAATGGAGATACTGTATGAAACCTATTTATGAATATTGATACTAAATTAATAATTCATGACAGTTATAAAAATAGATCCTAATAAATCTGATGATACAAGTGGATTAAACCAGAAACTGTGCATAAAGCTATTACTTCTTGTTATGCATGATGTAAGTGGATGAAACTTAACTATCTTCTGTATAATATGGGGTTGTGGAAGTTGTGCATGGAGGAAAGCCGCTATGTTGAAGTTAATGCAAGAATTTCTTTTCTTTGCTGATGCTGCCTGCCTCTGTTTGAATCTACAGCACGTAAGTAGGAAGTTTGACTGACATTTCATTTAACAAACATTGTTAAACAGATTCATCCCTATCAGCATTCTTATTTACAAACGTTTGTAACTTGTAACATGATTTGTAGACCATGTAGACAGTAAATCAAATCTCATAGTTCTGATCTTGATGGATTTTGATAAATACATTCTAGTAATCATGATAATTGATGGCTGATTCAGTAATTTCACTGAGTAATTTCATTATGTGAAAATTGTCCAATTCATGGATATGTCTTTCTCTCTTTTCCATACTGGATCATCTAGGGGGTAAGTACAGACAATGTTACTCAACAAAATGTCCCCAGTTGGGTCATATAGCAGCATGTTTTTCGAGAAACTTTTGTAGCCGTGTACAAGTTTGATAACCATACTGTCAAAGGTATCATTTAAATTTGAGACCAGTTCAAGGAATTTACGTCATTTTGCAGGATAAGTATATGAAATAGACATAATACTCTGATTATGGAATTATTCAGTTGGTCTCCCTAGTCTTGTTAGTCTCTGATGGAAATATCATGACATCTTTAAGGTCATGGCAGTATTTGGTTGACAGAACATGTCCCCAGTACCTGAATCTTTTTGGATGGCCTACTACAGAATATGAAACAGCCGATTACAGCTCAGGGGTGGAAATAATTCATTGCCCGACGCCCCAGTCCAGTGTTTTTTTCTGTCGGGCAAGCAAATTTGTATATCACACTGTACCAGTGTCCAGTTTACTTTCCAATATTAATTATGTTGTTTATTTAAAAAATCAACAAGAAAATCGGCCAATATAGAGGAAAAATTATCAGGGCAAGTGATTTTACATGTGCCACTGTACCGGAGTTCACGAACAATTTTAAAGTTATTTCCACCCCTGCCGCTGATTATCAACTAATGTATATGCTCATAAAAATGTAGATATGTTATATCCTGTGTTGTTAAGTCAAAGAAAGACAATGCTTTATTCCTTCATGGTGTAGTGGATAGAGTGTTTGCCCACTGAGTGGGGGGTTGGTGGTTTGATCCCTGGCCACATCACACCAAATCATGACACTTGTTGTTTCCCTGCCTGGTGCTTAGCATGGGATAACACAGGAAGTAGTTGGTTCAGAGTTGGTACACAGTGTCTGAGTAGAGTATCCATGTTAGGTCTGCAATGATTCGGTTTGATTCATCAAGAATCGAAACTGACACCTTAGTTTCAATTTTCGATAACTGTTATCACTATTTCAATTCAATTTTGAATACCTATTTAAATTATTTCCACACAAACAGAATGTAAATTTGACTCCAGCTCAAGCAGTTTCGAGCGCTGAAATAAGGCGAAACGTGATTGATTGACGCCAGGATAATAATCTAATAAGAATTGTTAGAAGATATCGCCAAGTTGACAATGGATTTCAGGCTAAAAAAGCCGACTCTGAGAGTTAAATGAAATCTGATGTTTTTACTTGTATGAAGAATCTAATGGAAATTGATTGAATCAAGGGTCCAATATCGAAAGTCGAATCAAGGTCTGGGTGAATTGTTGCGGCCCTAATTAATGTTAGATTGTCATGGTGTCTTAGTGTGCTGTAAACCAGCTTCAGTCTGGACTAGTACCAGCAACCATTCCCACTCACACACATCAGTACAATCTTGAAGGTGATGTTAGACCCTCCTTCTCCTGGCATCCTGTGGGACCTGAGTACCATGTGCTGTGTTTTGTTGTCTGCAGGGCTACACACCTCTCCACATGGCAGCCATACATGGCCATGAAGACATCATATCTCTTCTTGTGCAGACATATCGTAAGTGCAAATAAAATATCTGTGTGTCTGTCTGTCTGTCTGTCTGCATCTCTGGGTACTATCTATAATGTAAGCCCATGAATTTTCTTTTTAATCCCACATATCCCTATAAAGGTTCAGTTACAGTAATTCTAAAGGTTTGTTACCTCCCTCCCTCCATCCCTCCCTCACTCACCCATTCACCCACAGATAGGGGAAGGGAGGGAAGAAAGAATTATATGAGCTTTAAAGTATCTATATCTGTTCTAGATTTTCTGTGAAACAGAAACAGATAGTGAGTATTTATTACTTGGACCATGCTCAAATTATTGTTAAGTCCCACATATTCAGTGTGTCGCATCTTGTTCCAGGAGCTGATGCCAATGTGAGAGACTTCAGTGGCAAGAAAGCTAAGCAGTACCTGAAGAACTCAGCCTCTACCAAAGCACAACGTAAGCGAATATCCTCGTATTCAGGACCCTATGATTCACAAACAATAACAATCAGTCTCCCAACTCTCCCCCAGGGCAGTCAATCACGGCGTTCCATACTGCATCTGTCCCTCAGTGATATGCCCAACCAATCCTCAGCTTAGATCAGCAGGATTCAACTCTCCAGTAACCATGGTACCAAAGGACACATTTCTAGAAAACAAGGTGTCATGGTTACATTGCCTTTATGATGAAAGCTGAGGATAATATTTAGGCTCACTAAGATGTAGATAATAACTGTCTTTTACATACACTACTCAAAAGAACAATGCTTGTTTCGTGCATTTTACTACGGTATATTTATCGTGCCATGACCCATTTCTTTCAAATTACCAAAGTTGATCTGTCATATTTTGATCTGATACTGGTTTATAATATGTCATGCACATGTTCTTAAGCTACTTTTGAGTGGTATATGATAACAATGAAACTATGTTTATCAGATTTGACAATCGGTTGCTACCAAATCCATATCATTTGCAATCATACTTTTGAAAGTAATATCCATGGATATTTAATGATCAATGATTATGTACCAGGTTTATGTTTGACATCGTCATGATAATAAATTAGCAGTAAGTTTGTTTCTGACTCCTTACACTAAGTTCCAGTGGCAGTTCCTGGTCGAAAAAAAGACAAATAACTTGAGACCATCAGGTGTATGTTTAGTTAGAGAATATTGGACATATTATCTCATCTCACACACGTAAAATTTGAGGACAAAAGCCCATTGAAACATATCACTATGAATGTGATAAAATAATAGAATTGTACATTGTTACATACTCACATAACTGTTAATGGCATAGAGGTTAATGTAGTAAACAAATCGAAGCAGCCTTTGGTTGGATGACTGTGAAGAAACTGTCCAATACATAGCACTCTACCAATATGGGAGGAATCTATGAAATTATAACAAGGAAGTGTCCATATCATGATAAGCCAAATCATTGTACCAAACATACTTACTTATGATATTTATTATTGACATTACATGTGATAACTTACATCGAACAAGAATGTCTGAGAATGTTTATAAACATTATGTCCACATTCCTGTCGTAACAAGGAGATTACATGTAGTACATCATGCAACAGATGTTTGAGGAACATTTCATATCGACAGTGGAATCTGCAGATTTCATCAGTAATCCCATATCATGATCTGATGTGTGCTTTATTTAGCTGGATGAAGCATGTTCCAAAATTGATTGATAACATTAGCTGATATTTTTCTAAAATATGTTGGACTGTATACATAATGTCCTTGCATATCAACATTTATATTTTTGTAATTTCAATAAACACTGATGTATCACTATGACATATAGTGTTATGTACAAGGCATTCACAATCCCAGAAGCCCCATCATCAGCTCTACATTCAGTTGAGTGGGGCACTCCTGTCTGTTTACATGGGATGCTCCAATCTATATGCATTGTTGTTACTCTCCAGTGGAGTGGGGTCTCCTCTTTGGATGCTGGATTTATTCCTCTCTCGTTGTGTGGGTTATTCCTCTCTGACTGGGAGGGTCATGCTCTGGTTGTATGGTTGTATGGTGTGGTTGAGAGGGGTGTCTTTAGTTTGAAGTTTTTTGGACAGGCAGACCACTTCACTTAGATTTTCAGAATTTTGTCTTAATTAGAGGTCATATTTGCCACAAGACAGAAAATGTCAGTAAACGTTTCCCAAATAAGAACAATGTAATTCCTAATTCATGTGACTATTGTTTCAACTGAAGCAATCAGTAATGCACTCAGTACATCAATAGTAATGTAATCAGACTGGTAATGTCTAAGTCACTTGTATTTCTTTTCCAAACAGGACGCTTATTGTGCCTTGCAGATGACTACATATCTATGTTTTTCCATTACATTATTTTTATAAATATCCATGTTCTCTACTGAATGCAGAGCTGATGTGGGTTTTTCCCCCGGCAATTGCATGTAAGGGGAGACAACTCTGTGTGCCATGCCAGGTGTACATATTGCTTATCAGTTCTAAAGCTATTAGTATAGTGTGTATATCTTTCTGCATTTCATATGCCTCATGAGTATGGTTTATAAAATGATGAATGTGTTTTCTCAGAAACTCTCTACTGAATGAACTGTACATATATTTATTCATTCCACATGCTTGGGATCAAGTTTTATGTTAGCATTAAAAGCTTGGAATGTAATGAGATTTTCGTTATAATTTGGAAGTCATGAATCTGAGGTTACTAAGGGTTTCTTTGCTGTGATATTTCTGTTTTTTCAGATATGTTTTGTGTAGGTTGTAGTATATTATGGGATTGTTTTGCAGGTATTCTGCTTTGCATTTTACATTTTACAGATTTGTTGGTTGTTGAATGAAATGCTATTTAAGTAATGTGTTGAGTATGAAAGATTCCTGTTTCCAAGTGAGTGGCTCCCATTGTGATGGATAGAGGTATAGGCAGAATATACTAGAATAACTTTTAACAGCAAACTGTCATGGTTGAAAACAGCATTCATATATAACTTTTGCATCTTAAATCAGACGAGAAAACAATCCCTTTCAGTTTGGAAATAAAAGCTTGAGAGGAAGATCTAGATATTAATAGGTCTTTATATGGGAGTCATTGGGACACAATCTTTTTGTCCATATTGTGCACTGTCCTAGTAAGATTGACTTAAGTTGTGATAGGTGTGAACAGTTATTATAAGTTATCAAAACCTGATGAGGCTCTAGAAGTTAAAATTGTTCCATCACTGATGGCCTGCATTTTAACTTGAAGAATCAGTCAACATTTTTCAGTGCTTTGACAACTTGGCCATAGCTTCCCAAAGTTAGTGCCCATCTAAGCTTGGAATGCAGTGCTAATCATGTCCTCAAGTGGGATGTAAAACATATTTAAATAACTACCGGTATAACAATCTTACTTGTAACACAATCATAGTAATATTTTTTATAAGCTGGTTCAAATAGATTTCAAACTGTTAGCTCAAGATGTGATTCATTGCCATGAACACTAAACTGTACATCTGAAAATCACTAGTGTTGTATCCTATATTAAACAAAGTATCAGTCATGAGTTAGGCAGTCCCAGCCTATCTGATGAAGACAGCCCACCTAGTTTAAGGCCAACATTTGATCTGAATGAGGTTATGTGTACGCTATAGATCCGTGTATGTGCTTTTGATATGTATGTGGTTGATCTGTATGTAGTGGTGATCTGTATGTCTGTTACAACAGTATGACAATGATGATATACCAAGGTTTCATCTTCAGCGTGTTCAGGCACCGGCGAGTTACGTATAGTATACTTGTAAGTTTCCTCTCATACAAGACAATGTCAGCATGGTCGTGACATTGGCATGGTGCCGTTCTGGACCTCTGCCACACTTACTGAGGATTACAGTGCCACACGGACCTCTCTCTGTATCTGTCCAGTAACATGTGTAGTGGACTCTCTAAACAAGCAGTGCTGGCAACAAGCTTCCTGGTCATATTTATAGGAACCTATCTGTGATAACACTAAGTTCCAAAGAACATACTATATTATATATGTCAATAGACTCAGTACCCTCTAGTAGTTTTACATGTTAAATCAGAAGTGGATATATATAATGTCAATCTTTGCATGTACAATGCCATTTAGAAATTGGTCAAATGTAACATGTCATAGATGTTGACTGAGAAAGTGTATTCCCATTCATATATCTTCTATTGCTTTTTATTTGCTTGATGTTGAAAAGAATATTTGGATCACCATTCATTAATGAGTTTCAAATTGTCAAATTCAGCAAATCTTCTATACTTATTAAATTTGATTTGGCTAGCCGTAGGTAATTCTCATTCTTGGGGGTCAATTTTTCACAATGAGACTTACTATCAATTTCTTTTGAATGAAAGTAATGAATACAAGACCATTTCAAAGATGGTTGCTACAACTACAGTCTGGAATCTTTGTTAAAATCCTTTTGTCAGAATGCTTGAATCTGGGGGGGAGGAGCAGCGATGACTGTGCTTAATTACTGGGTTGCTAGGTGTTTGTTCTTTGGTGGGCCCTTGTTATCAGTACTATGTTTAGAGAGAGTTTCACTGAGATCTGCTTGCCCATCAGCTTACCTATGTAATAATCCAACATGAATCATGTTTCTCGTGCTATGCAGCATTCTTTATTTCCTCATGCATAGACTGTTCTCCACCCAGTCTTGTGTTGCTTACATTCATTCATAATATCTATTACTTGTATCATTTTTTGCACTTGACAGAATAAAGAATCTCCAATCTGTGTTAATCCTTCATTTTCGTCTTGCAGGAGTTGTAGTTTTGAAAACGGTTTCAGTGAGTTTATGTAACAGATTCTATTTTAACATTGGCCTTCAGGGGTGGAAATAACCCATTGCCCGACGTCCGAGTCCAGTGTTTTTTTCTGTCGGGCAAGCAAATTTGTATATCACGCTGTACCGGTGTCCAATTGACATTCCAATCTTAATAATGTTGTTTATTTACAAAATCAACACAAAAACGGCCCGTATAGTGGAAAAATTATCAGGGCAAGTGATTTTACATGTGCCACTGTACCGGAGTGCACTAGCAATGTTAAAGTTATTTCCACCCCTGGCCTTTACCATTAGCAACAGAATGTCATCTGTTTATTAGAGATAATGACATGAACTAGTTGCTATGGTAACACATCTTTACAACATATTGGATAGATATTGGTAGACATGGAGGGATCTAGTTATCTCCAGCTGGTATATGTTCATCTCAAGTTTAGTCCACCTGCAGTCTTACATGCTTACATGTATCTTGTGTTCTTGGGCCTCATTTATCTCCAAGATTGGCCCTGAACTTGGAGATAATGGAGTGTACGCTATGTAGGCCCAGACTCACGCTCAAGTTGTACACATGTGATATAGGGAACTTTGATTACGTCCAACACATAGAATTCTTACCAGTAATGTTGAGGCTTTCTTATCATTGTAACCATGGTAACATAATCTTTAATTGTAAAACTAGACCATTAAAAGTCAATATTTTGGGAATTAAATTCCAAAGTTTTTCAGGAGCAGCTAATTTTCTCAGTGGTTTTGACACACAGTTGTTGTTAGGAGAGTTTTAATATTTAATGCACATTTGACTGGACATTTTTCTTATCTCTATGAAATGTTTTTAAAAACTCAAAAGAACAGTTCGGAAAATATTGTTGTCAATGTCCCAGAAAATGAATCAATCTGAAACCTTGTTAGCCCTCTCAGTTCCGTCCATGTATCAGTAACCTTTGGACTGGTTAACCAGGGGAACAGAAGATCCCGGGAGACAAGATGGAACGTGGTTGTGATGTACATGTATGGGGATGTGCCACTTCCTCTTTATCAATTTTGACAGTTCCCATGGCTTGTCAGAATCTCGCAATTTTGTTATGACATGGAATCATCCTGCCAGCCCTCGGCGTGGTCCTGCTGCTGGTAGTGTCAGGATAGCATCAGAAGCTGTGACGTGCACTGCCAAGATGGAATAGATAAATGGAGATTACTCTGCTAGAACTTCATAATAATATTTGTAACATATTGCTCTTTTTACATAATTCTATATCCTGACTGTTTTCATTCTCTCAAATGATCTCATATGTTTTGTCTATTTACTATACTTTTAGAAAATCAATATATTCAGGTAGTTTTATTACAAAGTAAGTCAGCAGACCCGTTCATGAATGTTATCTTTTAATGTTAAAAAATTGATATTGTTCGGTCATATTCATCATGAAGCAAGTCAGCAGAACCATGTTAATTTGGCCCCCGGTAACAAAGCTCTATTGGTGGCGGTAAGGTTAGTTACCGGTAGTACATGATATACTGCATATTGTTTCTGTTCTACATCCAACAGCTGCCCATGCAACTTTTACATACCTTTTCATTGAAGGTACTACTCCGTTCTTCAACTCTGATTCCACTGTCCTCACTTTGTCAGGCAATATAATCTCTGACGCCATCAGATATCTCCCTAATTCAGCACCCAGCTCTCAGTTCCCAGAGTCTGTGATCTACCAGGTTTCTCGCTGTACAGTGGACCTCAAGGTTTCACTTGTATTTTCAAAATAGTCAGGTTTAAATGGATGAAGTGGACATAACGTTTTCAGAATTGTATCTCCAGATTTAAAATTCTTATGCTTACTTTTACCCTATTCGTCTTAATCTGGTCTTTCTATGATTTAAGTCACCCTGATTTCAGACAATTGACCATTGATGGCTGACCATCCCTCTGTAATGTCATCTCCTTAAGTAATAAGTAACATGTGTGGATTTTTTCGGTAAATGTTGAATTAACAAATTTTACTTAGATTTTTTTCATTCATTTATTTGCATATACAGTCCTGTTTGTGATAAGATGTGCCTCGTCACAAAAGGCTGACAGAGATTATGTTGATGTGGCACTGTGAGCGTTATACCTGACTTCATCTCACAGTATTCTACCTGTCCCCAGTTTATTTCTCTCTGTTGATTCCAACCTCACCGATTAACCAATGTGAGAAATGCTATAATTTTAATTCTTGAAAGAGTTGTTATTTCAGAAAGACAAGCATCCAAAATATTTTTGTAAGATTTTGAATTTAAATTTAACTCTTTTTATAAGTGATTATTTCACATTTGTTATTATAAATGTTATTTGGTATGGCTATCGTAGAGGGCTAGTTTCCATTCAGCTTGCAGAGTTATTTTGCACACTATATGATAAACATCTTTGTAGGAATAACTGAATCACTATCTATTTGTTTTTCATGTGTAAGTCTATGCTTTAAATGCTAAACAGGCTAATCATAACAAATATCAAGTTTGAGATTCAAACCAGTTGTTTAAAGTGTTAGTAAGCAATAATTAAAAGTTGAAGTTTGAATATTTTCTACGTTTTACAGAGTTTATTAAACATTAACAGATCTATATTACCAGATATTGGTCTCAGGTTCTTCATAGTATGTGTGTTTTGTTGTATTACATGACCTTTGCTTGTATACTAATTATACAGCTACAGCATTGCTGTGTTATAAGTACCGTTATATCCTAGTACTGTAATGTGCCAGGTGTGGTGATTAACATTGCCAGGGCATCAAACATTGTGTGTGAGAGTAATGATGGAAGCTCTCAGTTATGTATTTTTCTTGAAAAAGACCCTTTCAGCAGAGTGAAATATTACGTTTGATGTGATGGTAAGTTGATGAAACTTATTTCCCACTTTGACATGTAATGGGACATGTGCATGAAATCCCCAGCCAGGTGTATTGAGTTCACCATGCTTGTATCTTCTGTTGTGGTGAAATAGATTGACATGTACATCACACTGACAGCTGTCCCTTGGGTTATAACAACACGGGTACATAGTTGATTGAAGGGGGCACCTGTCACACAAGTCTGTGTACTAAACTTCTTAAGATGCATCATTTATACTCTCATCATCATCATCATCATCAACATAACCTCATTACCATGCACTGCTGCAACTAATCCTGACTGACATTTGAATGAGAACAGCCTGCATTGGTATATTAGGCATGAAATGATTGTAACAGAATGAGAAAATAATATTATCAATATTAATAACCAATGAACCTCAACTATTGTCGATCATGTTTGTCATATTTTAGGGCATTTGTTACTAAATTGAGTGAAAACAAAAAATGTTTTCCTATCATGAAACTCTGCTATAACTTTGTGTATTCAATAACATAACATGTTGTTATTCAGTATTCAGAACATTTGAATGTTGTCTTTGAGTTTTATGTCACTATTAGCAATATTCTATGCCTCAAGTAATTAAGTTATACTATACACATTGTACCCATGTGGAGATTCGAACCCAGACCTTCAATATAAAGTCAGTGTGTGGTGTTATCAGATTAAAGAGAGACAGTAAGCTGTGTTAGTGAAAGCTGCAGTGCTTATGGTTGCTTCCTCGTGGAGAGAAGGGAAGGGCTGCTTGTGCATCATGGTATCGAGGATCACATATTTCATACTTTGTGTCACGGATTACAGATTTCTTGTCTGATAGTTTCATGCAGATGACCTTGACCAAAGAATGACATTTGAGCCGGTTTTGAGCAGGAAGTGATTTGTTCATGTCCTTTATAACCCATCACAGTAGAATCACAACACACGGTACTGGTCCACACAGACACTGACGAACCACATCTAGATACACCTGACAAGCACGGCTCAGTGTGCACACAAATAGTTGGGCATGTAAATGTTCTTAATGTGTTATTATTTTTGCCACTTACAGAAGAACACAAATTCTATATTTTTCATTTTTACATGAAGCATGTAAACTCAAATTCCCCTCTTATTTGTTTCTTTGTATTGATGTGTGAGTTATTACAACACTTTGATTTCACTTTGGACCCATGATTTGAGTTGATAAACAGTAGGTGATGGTAAAGATGGTGATCTCCACCACGATGTTCAGTTTGCCATGTTTTACGGACCTGCCTTGCATGTCTCTATGAACATGCATGTCACCACCTGAGTTGGTTTCCCTGGTGTAGGGACGTGTGATTATTTCAACTAGTGTTGTGGATTGTTATATTGTAAATGTGACAATGATATTGTTGTCTAGTGTTGTCATGATGTTGTTTAATCACTACCATTTCAAGATAATTATCAAAAAATTTACAATATTTAAATTTCATTTGTCAATAATCATAAGTGTGATCATGTTACTTGTGTGATAGCAGTTTAATAATTTATCAATCATAATGTATTTATTTAGCACATTGAGACACAGTCTTTTTATGTTCTTTTTCAGAAATTGTTTTCATATTCCAGAGATTATTTCTTTTCCTTTCATTTTTAAAGTGATCTTTTTTCAATTTACAGAATTACTTCTAAGCCGAACACTACATTCCAATCTGGGTATGTAACTTGTAGCATAGTCTGTAGCTGATTTTACCAAGGCCACATAACTGCTTTCAGTGTTAATATATATGCTGTTAAATGAAAGTTATATGAGGCAGACTGCTTTGTAACCAGAGTACTGAATACCTTGTGTCGTCCCACGCACAGAGCCCTGCCAACTTCACGTGTACTCCAAGGCACATCTGCACAAAGATGCCTTAGTATTAAGACTAACACAAGTCTGTATGAAGGTACGGGAGTTGTGATGTCTTACTGCTGAGATCACTTTGTGCTGGTTGCATATCTTAAAGCATATCCTTGTGCTTGTTCTGTTTATGTTAACATTGACTAGTCCTATTTGTAGTGTTTCTGTTGCTTTTTCTACTTATTGTAGATTTATTCACTACATATCCACACAAAGGACAGCTTTACTTGAAGGTGTTTTATATAAGCTATGCGCAGGTGTAAAGGATCTATATAGTATATTGCAATAACAGTTTGTATACTGCTCGAAACAAGTTAAAGAACATCTAGAAATTGAAGGTTGTAGTACCCTCATACACAGATACTTCTGGTTGTATACAAAATAACTGGTGTTCCTTGTCTACTTTTGAGTAGTATATCAGTAATGAAACTTAAAACAGTTATAGCCTTTGAATGTCACAAAACATCTGCCAATTTGATGTTTCTCAATATTATTTTTGCTGGGTAAGTACATCCATTCCAATTTTTTAATCTCTGATGTTGAACATTTTTAAAAGAATTATAAATCTGAAAAAGCCAAAGTGACAACCGGTGCTAGTTGGTTGATGAAACCTGAAATGCATGTACTTTTTGTTTGGCCTCATGTCTGATCATGTCTTGTAGACCTGTAGAATACTGCTTTTGTATGTGTTTATTTAATCAACCAGTCATTTGTTTCTCTTGCTTATATACAAAACCGTGCTATCATTTTTCATCTGCCAAGTTAATACAGGTTTAGATACATCCTTCACTACACTTCTATATGTTCTGTTAGCCTTTAACCGTACTGTTGGAAACTGAGCAAAATCTGAAGGCCTCATCATAACCGTAATATTAAAAGTTAAAGTTTTAGAGGTCGCTAGATTCAAATATGACTTGAGAAGACCCTGAGGATACTCTTAATTTGATAGATCAAGTGTCAGTTGTATAAACACAAGCCCAGGAGCATGTCGATCAACTCCGGCATTGTAACACATCCATTAGCAATGACAGACAATAGGTGAAGCTGAGCTGTAAGTAAACAGGCATCGATCCAGGGCATCCCATGTTGTATGTCTATCTGACGCTGTGTCAACACCGGAGGATGGTGTTGAGGGAAGGGGTATTGTGTCTATTGCTGAAATCAACATGTGTCAATTTCCTGTATTGATGAAGTAAACAACACAGATTAGGTTGTGCTTGAATTATCTGTTCTGTATGAGAGAGTCATCTGTGTATGTACTCAGGCTCGTCGTGGTCATCTAGTGTGTTAACTCCGCTAGGACACGCCGGTGAGAGCTCAGTTCAAATACATCCCAAAATTATAAATTCCTTCATATCATTTGTGAAACAGTTTGTTTAAAAAAGTAAGACTACATTAAATATGATATTACATCTTATTACTTCAATGAGTTGATGCCTTGAAACAATATCAAAAAGTTAATCCAATTATGTCTCTATTTAAGTCAATATTTTTGTATTCATAACTCTGAAACAGAATCTGTTAATAAATAGCCAAAAGATCAAGGTTATGTCATACCCAGCTGATCACCCAGCTAGGATAAAGGAAACCAAATGAGAAACTGCATATAGTGTGTCCGCAGTGAGGTAAGTAGACGCACAAGGCACAGGCATTTATCAAGATAGTTCAGGGTGGTGAATGAACATATGCATTATTTCCTTCTCAGGTTCAGGACGTTCTCTGGACGATTCGTTCATGAGGACGATGTCATTCAGGAAGAGTCACCGTACCAGAGCTATCTCGTCCCTTCTACAAGCTACTTCCAGCATCGTCCGCACGCAGACGTTTCGGTCCAGCTGGGATGGGTCGTCCGAAAACCTGAGAGGGGAGGAGAAGTCCACGCCCGATTCCACCCCACCCAGCAGCACAACCTCCTCCCCATCCTCGTCCAGGAAGGGATCGGTATGTTCGCAGCTACATCTTCAATTACCAGCTGTATTCTAGTAAACTCTCAGGCGACAGCAGTGTTGTCTTGAATCTTGACTCTGTTCTTGAAGTAGCTCAACACTGGGTATTTTTCCACAGTTTGATTTATCCCCCATTTGCTTCTAGTTCTCCAAACAGGATCGTGACATGATGCCTCCCCCCTCAGCACCAACTCGCAGGAAAAAGATGCCAGCGTCTGGTAGTGGAGATAATTTGTCCATGGAGAGGTGAGTTGTTGAAGACGCTGCAACTCCAGAAGCAGTCATGGATGCTGTGGAAACTGTTGTTGTCACAGTTGTCCTTGAAGCAGAAACATCCAAACAATGTTTGTGTTTACATGTCACATTGTTTGACGAAGTGAAATAGAGTTGTTCTATTTAATTCCATTTACGTTTGTTGAAAATGCACTCTGTGGAATTATTGCTGTGCTTGCGTATTGTCACAGGCTATAGAAAACAGAGGTGAATCTCTTCCTGTATCGTACACCACCCTTGATATGGAGAATGTTTGGTTTCCAACAGGTCCTAGCTTAACCTTATTGTACAACTGGCATAAACCAAGTGCTCCATGCTAAATTCATAATTTTAGATATTTTGTCATTTGAAAACAAACTCATCCTGATGCAAAAGGGTCTGAAGGTCATTGATGTGTACAGTCACCCTTTTGAACTCTACGTCACCAAAGATATCAGGTATGTTCACCCAGCAGAAAATGGGTACCCGGTTGGATAAAGTCATGTGACTATAACCTTCTAGCGCCTAACCGGCAGCTTGGGTTATCCAGGGTAATAAGAATAAGATTCTGATTAAGCGCCGTGAGCAATCACTTGGTGTTTGGAAATGTGCGCTATAGAAGATGACTTATTATTATTATTTATTTAGTGTGAGTTACCTCACATAGGTGATCTGTTCCATGGTAGTGAAGTGGAAGAACAACACTGCATAGATGTTATGCCTGTTGTTTATGTCGGCTGTTTATAAAACTGTTGCACGTAACAGGTATCTGTCTCCTGCTGTCTGGATAATGCCACCACCGCTCTACTGAAAATAATGGTCTTTCAAAGAAAGCAAACAAAATTGATTTTCTAAGTCTGACACCCCCAGGTGGGCAGAAATAGGAAATACCTGTTTATGTTTGAAATGCCTTCAAGTAGGATTGTCTCTCCAAAGTTTATTGTTGACTTGAGCACCCAGTGGATGCAACCGGATGGAGGAAGACCCAGGGCAAGTGCCATCCTTCATGTAGACAAGGAGATGCAGATTCCGGAACTTGAATAAGTGCTGGGGTAGCCCTGTGGTCGAAGTGTTCGTTCCCCATGTTTACTGCTGTACAGCAACATTTTGTGTGCAAAACAATAATGTTGCTAACAGTAGCATAAAACTAGACTCCCTCACACTCATTCTTTAGCTTAAATTCATGTAAGGGCGGTGGGGTAGCCTAGTGGTTAAAGCGTTGGCTCGTCCGGGTTCGAATCCCCACATGGGTAAAATGTGTGAAGCCCATTTCTGGTGTCCCCCGCCGTGATGTTGCTGGAATATTGCTAAAAGCGGCGTAAAACCAAACTCAATCAGTCAGTCAATTCATGTAATTTTCCCTGATTCTTGCAGTCCCTCCGAGAAAAGTCTTGGGTCAAGGTCAGAGTCTGACCCTTCACTGACGACACATTCTGCCAAGACGACTTTCATCTAGATGCAATACAAGAAGTACCAAGCAACTGCAATATCCAACATAGACTTGTATCAGTATGTTTTGCCTGCTGGTTTGTAGGGCTATACTTTGTCTACCAGTTTTTACTGCAACACATTGCAAGACTGATCTTATATGTAATATACTGATGTAATATACTGCCAGTGACATACTCGTATGGGTTCTTATCTTTCATCCTGCCCTTCATGTTTTTGACCAGATTAGCACCATAAAGCTGCCTGTGATTTCCATATTTGACAGACTATGTGGACATTTGTTAGGCTTAACCACCAGAGGTAGCACAGTGATATAGGAGAAATAGGAGTGGCATAGGAGAAATATTATTCATCTGAGATTAGCTGAATGAGGAAGATTTTTATTCATGGTATTTCATTAATACAGCCTGGTGAACCTCACCAGTGGAACATGCTTACTGATGAGAACTTGAGAGTGGTTTGTACCGAAGACAAAGTAACTTATATAGATGGAATAAAGCCTAGTAGTATATACTTAGCTCAATTCAGTGCAAACCTTAGGAATATTAAGTTGTGTTAAGATAAAATGGAAATAAAGTTAATAGCTGTAAGTAACATACATGTAAGGAAATACATGGATTGAGTTTAGTCACATAACATTGCACTCAGCTACTGCGGAATGTTTACATATTGTATGGATGAAATAATAAGTTTGCTTTACTTTATTATGAGATTGTGAGGTTCTTTTTGTAGTCATTGAACCTTTTGTTTGTTAGACAATTTACTGTACATATATGGAAAAGTTACTTGTATATATATATATATACATATGTAAATCATATACAAATGCGTTCAATAGATCAGCTTTGCTGTAGCATATTGATGACTATTTATAACGGGGTTCTCCATGATTACATATTTATGTGTAATAATCCTATTATTATGTTTTGGTAATTGTTTACATTTGATAATCACTATATAACAGTTATGGTATGTTATGTAGAATATATTGTGGCATGTTAACCTGAATACTGCTGAAACTTGCTGATACTTTTTACAGTGTTTAGACAGGTCTTGGCATTATTTGGATCTCAGAGTAGCTTGATTAATTTGTCTAAATCAAATGTGTTTTATGGTAAAACTACATTTTTCCATTGCAAAGAAATCTGTGATTCAAGTAATTCAAAAATTGTCTGTATAAAATAAAGCTTATTTTGAGCAGTGACATAGTTTTGTGATTATTAGTTGTTTAATAGATTTACAAAAACTAAGACCTGTGAAGATCTGGAGTAGAATTGGTCTTAAGTAACCCATGCTTGTTGTAAGAGGCGACTAACGGGATCGGGTGGCAAGATTCCCTGACTAAGTTGACACGTGTCAACGCATCCCAATTGCGAAGAGAGATCTTCATGCTGTTGATCACTGGATTGTCTGGTCTAGACTCGATTATTTACAGACCACCGCCATATAGCTGGAATATTGCTGAGTGCAACCAACAACCAACAACAAAAACTAAGGTCTTCTGGTGTTATTTGTGGGTAGCCCAGTCATCAGAGGAAGTGTGCTGTGTAGAGTTGCTTCCTTTGGGCAGGACAGACACCTGTGATTTGGGGTTCAAACACCTGATGTCCTGATTTTGTTCTTGGTTTGTCAGCACACCTATACATTGTGTGGGGTCCACCAATATGTCGGGGTCGGAGACCTACATCACATCCGATTGCCACACACATGCTGACTGGTCATGAGATAGCTGCGATACTGTATACTCGACTCACTCACTCACTCACTGACAAACTCACTCATTCGCTCATGTTGATTATGAGCAAGATAACTAAGAGAGCAGGTACAACATCTACTGGGTATGGCTAACAGAGCCCTGTGTTTGTTGTGTAATACCTTTGCTAACCTGCTGGTGTCGACTCCCATCATTTAACTGAGAATGACAGTGGAGCAATCACCAGTTGACGCCACCAATATCCGTGATAGAAGTCGTTGGTTCAGTTTGTGACTTTTTTTAGTGGAAATTCAGTGTAGAACATTATTCAGCAACCAAGCAACGGATTAACAACAAACATAAACTGCTATAACCTTGTAAACGAGATTGAGGTATTTTGTCAGGTCTTAGGTAGAACGACCGTCGTGTTCTGGAAGAGGAATCACTGATATACATCTTCGTTGTTCCCTTTGATACTCATACATATTCAAAGCTCATATTGAGTTTTCATTATGTGTCAGATCGCTATATGTAATTATACTTGAACCTGTCCAGGCCAGGGTAGTGTTTCGGACTACTGCACGGTAATGTCTGTTTACTGGGATTACATATTTGTTCAGATAAAAAGAATCCAGTTAATGTTAGATTTTCCTAACTGAATTCTGCAAATGGTTGTGATTCAGAACTTCCTATTCCACCTTCAGCCCTTCTCTCTTCCTGGCAGTATGCAATCAAATTCAGCCATCCTGCTGGTGTCGTCATCAACCGCAGTCTCACAGCAGTAGCCTTGAACACACGTTGTACAATTCTCAGTCTGGAAAATATATGTTTGTAAACCAATAATTCACCAGTTACATTATTTGCATAACATGTAATCAATGTTCTTTCGGATTCTTAAATTATCTACACCGTCTCGAGAAAATTGGCATCAGGCTGAACAATTTGGTTCTTTTATTTAAAAAAATCAAAGTCGGAGAGGATAGGCAGGTCAGCTAAGATGGGTATGTGCACAAATATAAATATTAAACAATATAACACCGCTCTACAGCTCTTCCCTATATTTAATTGCGGTCTGTAAATAATATACACTGTTGGACACAATCCAGTGATCAACGCTGATTCAACGAGGGTACGATGACGTACAACCTCAAACAATTTTAGGTTAATGAAATATGACCATTCTATATATTTATCTAGAAACTACCTGTAATCTACAGGACACCGTTGAATTTTAAGCAATGAATGTTCAACGCAAGTCAAGTTTTCTCTACCTTTTTCAAAATTTGCAAACTAAGGTGTTAAGTTTTGTTTTTCTTTAAATATGAGACGAGCGTAGCATAGCATTTTACATCTTGGCCGTTGGCTTATCAGTTTCAAGCTTCGTCACATATTGGGCAGACCGCCGTGATTATACGAAGATTGCCAACACAGAATCAGTCGAGTCATTCCAACATGATTAGAAGGCATGAGGGAATGTGTATTCCCCACTAACAGGTGCAACTGATGCTGATGAGATGAAGTTTTTGTTTTGAGACTTTCAATAAATACAATCGTCCAATTTAACATAAATATCTAAAACTTTGTTTTAACTAGTACAGAATTGCGAGTATAAAAACGCCTCTCAAAACACGTAGATCCTCTCCAGGGATATGTGCTCTCTGCTGTCGCGTAAACGTGTTTGAGAAAATAGTCACAAACACGGGTCCAGTCAAAGAGATGCAAATTGCTTGATTTACGTTGGATGATGGATGTTGATGTCTTGTTACTGTCACGCTAGTGAGACACTCGAGCGATTACACAACTACAGCTCTCACAAAAAGAGGATAGTAATCTTGTTTAACGTCATTTCAACAAAGCCGCCACAAAACACAGCTAAGGCGGATGCAGTCTTGTCCTTGGTTTGCCTGGCGATGTCTGGAAAACATTTAATCGCGGCTGCATCTTTTTTACATTTCAACTGCAAGAGCTTGGATGCATTTTGTTACGTTTCAGCAGTTCATGTTGGAAAACGGTGCGTGTTTCTTGGCATCATGCAATTAGTTGCACATTAAGGGCATTTTATTGACCTTTCCATGAACCTTCTTGATACGTTCATTCTCCGCACGACGCTATCAATTATTGGAAAATTAACTTTATATTCAATAATTGTCTCAGTAGCATGGTGCGGTCACATGGATGTTATGTTATGTATTGCAGTTGGCATCGAATCTAACGTATATTATATACGCTCCGCTGCTCACTCCATACTACAGATGAAAATACGCTGTCCGAAGCAAAGCACTCTGTGAAACAAGAGTACGTGAAGCAACACACGATGTGAAGCTTTATAACGTCAAGCAACACGATTTAAAGCATTAAAACGTAAAGCAACACACGATGTGAAGAAATACAACGTTAAACAACGCACGATGTGAAGCATTAGAACGTAAAGCAACACACGATGTGAAGCACTACAACGTGAAGCAACACACGATGTGAAGCAATACAAAGTGAAGCAACACACGATGTGAAGCAAAGCAACGTAAAGCAACACACGATGTGAAGCAAAGCGACGTTAAGCAAAACGCGATGTGAAGCAAAGCGACATTAAGCAACACGCGAAGTGAAGCAATACAACGTGAAGCAACACACGATGTGAAGCAATACAACGTAAAGCAACACACGATGTGAAGCAATGCAACGTGAAGCAACACGCAATGTGAAGCAATACAACGTAAACAACACACGATATGAAGCAATACAACGTAAAGCAACAAACGATGTGAAGCATTAGAACGTAAAGCAACACACGATGTGAAGCAATACAACGAGAAGCAACACGCCATGTGAAGCAATACAATGTAAAGCAACACGCGAAGTGAAGCAATACAACGTAAAGCAACACACGATGTGATGCAATACAACGTAAAGCAACACGCCATGTGAAGCAATACAACGTAAAGCAACACACGATGTGAAGCAAAGCAACGTAAAGCAACACACGATGTGAAGCAATACAACGTAAAGCGACACGCCATGTGAAGCAATACAACGTAAAGCAACACACGATGTGAAGCAATACAACGCGAAGCAACACACGATGTGAAGCAATACAACGTGTAAACGTCTACTATCTCGTGCACTCTCTGGAGTGTCTCGCTGTGATGTGCTTAGTCCAGTTCAAAACCATATCGGACAACATAACACCCATCTGATGTTTGTGAACTGCTGATCCAGTTTTTGATTTCCCATACTTCATGTTGAGCCTGATTCGAAAGGCTGAAACACAGCCTTCCAAGCAAATTACAGATTCATGTTTGAGTCTGGTTAAACGGAAACAAACTAGAATTTGTTTATTCAGTTTTGTAGTTTTATTCAAGTTCCGTTTTAGACCATAACACTGCAGTGTTTCGGCGACTGTTTTCAGCCAAAGTAACGTACTGATGACGTTTCTAATATTTGTGCCAAATGTACAGTGTATAGTTCTCTCGCCAGAACAAGTGGTCATCAGTTAACAAGCATCTTGACGATGTTCCACGTTGCTTCACATTCCGACGGAAAGCATAATGTTAACGCAAGATTATATTTTTTTGTTTACTGGGCATATTAGATATTACTTATTTTAGAGGTAGCAGTGACGAAGCCGGTCGCTTACGTATTTGTTTCCAGGTATTGATCATAATAGATTAGCTGTAGAATACACAAGATAATCGACGGTAATGATTCGCCTGCATCCAATTCTACTTCGTACTGCCCACGTTATGCTGGATTATCAGATCAGACAATGGCAGATAGCACTGACGCCGAGAGCTAGTGACACATTGGCTTTATCAACCAATCTATCCAAGTAATATATATTACTGTCGCCCAAAAGGTTGCTGGTCATCTGGGGGTAATAAGTGCACTTAGGAGACCAACACCAATCAGTGTGTACCCTTTGTATCATGTCTACCCTTTGTATGTATTTCTGTGAAGCTCTTTGTGTTGAATCGAATTGTTACACAGTTCGGTATTTGTTAAAACTTGGTTATATAGATTTTCTCTCAACATCCATAGCCTATCAAATTCGCATGAATATTGATACATATTTTCTATCTTGATCTAACACATCAAGTACAGACCTTGAATATCTAAGTACCCAATACAAAATTCATATTTTTCTTTTGATACGTTGCTTTGTTTGTACACATAGTTCAATAGAATATATAACTATTGTAAAGGGGATCGTATTTGCAGTTTGCTAACTTGAAATCAGGAGTCCCACGCAGTGGGATTGTCTTCATCCAAATTGAGTTTCAGATTCCACCTGGGTGGAGGAAATGATTACATTTTGGCAAGAAATGAGTTCATGACTATATTTTTCATTCATTGATGTGACCCGTGAAGGTCCGGGTTAGAATGAATCTTCAGTAACCCATGCTTGTCGTAAGAGGCGCCTAACGGGATCGGGTGGTCAGGCTCGCTGGCTTGGTTGACACATGTCATCGGTTCCCAATTGCGCAGATTGATGCTCACTCTGTTGATCACTT